ACAAAGACATATTTTTGATATTTATTTTATATATTTAAATCCCATATAACAAAGAAAAATCAACCCAAAAAATGAGATCACGTGTCATAGGATCGCCATCACTGGGCTATAGCAAGAGTGCAGATCCTAGTACTTCTCCATCTCAGTCCTCACCCAGGAGACATGTGTTTTCTCTGTGACAATGTAGGCCACCTGTGTTGTGCTGCCACTAGGAGAGATGCACTTAAAAATTCAGAAAGGAGAGGAATATATAGGGCACTAAAGAACTCACATGATAGTGCTATTTAAAATCCTATCCAGTCCTGTGGCAATGACCCTTAAAACATTAGGTATATTAAAAAATTACAGATAACCCTAGCCAGTGTGGCTCAGTGGATAGAGCGTCATCCTGTAGATGGAAAGGTCCCAGGTTCGTTTCTGATCTAGGGCATGTACCTCGGTTGCAGGCTCCGCCCCTGGCCTGGGCCCTAGTTGGGGCATGTGCAGGAGGCAACCAATCGATGTGTTTCTCTCATACCAAAATTGCTCTGTCTTTCCCTTTCTCTTCCACTCTCTCTAAAATTCAATGGGAAAATATCCTTGGGTGAGGATTAAAAAACAAACATCTAGATAAATATAGCTTGAATTTTAATGATCAAAAATGTCCAAAGAGAGCAGACATAAATAAAGGAAGCAGTTAGCAGTCTACTTCAAAGAATAGTTTAGCCCTGACTGGTGTGTCTCAATTGAATGAGCATTGTCCCATGCACTGGGAGGTCGCGGGTTTGATTCTCAGTCAGGGCACATGATCGATGTTTCTCTCTCTCCCTCTCCCTTCCTCTCTCTGTAAGATTTAGTAAAAACATGTTTAACCCCTTCCCCGGCAGAAACGTGTTTACTCGTTTTCACAAAATGTTCTTTTTCAGTCGTCGACGAGTATACTAAAAAAATATGGTAAAAAAATATGGTTTATAGGAAGACGAGTTACAAACTGTTTTCATAACCAGCGTCAAAAATACTATATAGAACCAAAATAAAAAAATTAGTCTGAAAAAGAAACGTTTTTAACAAA